CTTTGGGCTGTATAGAGATGATGGGTTGGCTGTAATTAAAAACGCCAGCGGTCCACAAATGGAAAAAGTTAAAAAACATATAACTCAGATATTTAAAAGTAACAGCCTTAATATTTCTATTCAATGCAACATAAAAATTGTGAATTATCTTGATATTACATTAAATCTTAATGACTGCAGCTTCAAACCTTACCATAAACCTGAAAGTTTGTTAAACTATATCCATGCCAGCTCTAACCACCCACCAAGTATTTTAAAACAGCTGCCGACCTCTATTGAACAAAGATTATCATCAAACTCCTCCAGCAAAATAATTTTCGAAAACTCTTCTTCTATTTACAAAGAAGCCCTTATAAAGTCTGGACATAGCAGCAATATCCAATATCGTCCTAATTTAAATTTTCAAAAAACTAATCATCATACTAATAAACGCAAACGAAGCATCATATGGTTTAATCCCCCTTTTAGTAAGAATGTTGTCACCAAATTAGGAAACCTTTTCTTGAACTTAATCGACTTACATTTCCCAGCACACCACAGGCTACACAAGATTTTTAACAGAAACACCGTCAAAATAAGCTACAGCTGCATGCCAAATATTAGTACTATTATTAAGTCTCACAACCAACACATTTTGCGTAACCAAAATACCGAAAACGTTAGAAAATGCAACTGTATAGACAGAGCTGCGTGTCCTTTAGAAAATCAATGTCTAACTAAAAATATTGTTTACAAAGCTACCGTAACACTAGCGAACGTCAACCACGCTAAGAAATCTTATATTGGTATTAGCGAAAACTCCTTCAAGATCAGGTTTGCAAACCACATAAAATCATTCAACTTGGTCAGGTATAAAAATGACACTGAACTTTCTAAAGAGATCTGGAAACTTAAGGAAGCAGGCATTAAACCAATAATCAAGTGGAGTATTGTTAAAAAATGTCAACCCTATAACCCATCCTCAAAAAGATGTAATCTTTGCATAAATGAGAAATATTTTATTTCAACATACAATAAAGAACCTTTGTTAAATAAAAAAAGTGAATTGGTTTCAGCATGTAGGCACAGAAAAAAATTTTTGCTATCGAATTTCGACACCGGTTAAATAAATTCCCGTTTGGCGTGAAAACTGACGTTTGATCTCGTTGCAACGCAATTTTGTATTTTTATAACGGTTTTTATTTTAATGATTTTTAAATATATGGCTGAATGATTGCCGAATGGCATGAAACTTGAAGTCCCATAAAAAAGTCGTATTTTTTTGATTTAGATGTTTAATATATTTTGATCTATTTTATAAATATCGATCACTCTTAAACCGACAAAGAGCTGTATTAAATCCAACAGAATACAACACAACTCAATAATATATATATATATATATATATATATATATATATATATATATATATATATATATATATATATATATATATATATATATATATATATATATATACATATACTATATATATATATATATATATATATATATATATATATATATATATATATATATATATATATATTAAATATTTAAATAAAAAAAATACGACTTTTTTATAGGATTTTTTTATGGGATATATATTCATATATATATATATATATATATATATATATATATATATATATATATATATATATATATATATATATATATATATATATATATATATTTATATATATATATATATATATATATATATATATATATATATATATATATATATATATATATATATATATATATATATTTATATATATATATATATATATATATATATATATATATATATATATATATATATATATATATATATATATATATTGACATTTCAGAAACATTAAAGTACCTTGTTAATACTTAGCATTTCCTTGCGCACCAAGTATGGCGTAAAAAGTATGCTCCATTTTATCTTACTTATACTCTGAAAATTTTTTTCCTGGATGATGCAAAATGATGTCAACTAACCCAAAACAACGTTGGTCCAACAGCAAATATAACGTAGTTGCGCCAACAAACGCAGAACAATGATGGTCCGACAGCAAATACAACGTAGTTGTGCCAGCTAACACAAAACAATGTTGGTCCAACAGCAAATACAACTTAGTTGCGTCAACTAACACAAAACAACGTTGGCCCAACGATACAGGCTGCTCGGGTTCACTCATATTTTGCTATAAATTTAATATTCAATGACTTCACTCATATTTTGCTATAAATTCAATGACTTCACTCATATTTTGCTATAAATTTAATATTCAATGACTTCACTTATATTTTGCTATAAGTTGTTATACTTCATTGAAAAAAGATAAAAAATATAACTTAAAAAATGTAACTAAATGGGGGTAATGTGGGTTTATTGAGCACAACTCAAAACCGGTGTTCCTTAGACAACTTTAAAAATTACATATAAAAATTTGTTGATGTAGTTTACTAAAAGCAATGTCTAATCATGATTTTAAGTTTTCTTCAAAAAACAAATTGCTTTGCTATATATATTTTTTTGCTCAATATCAAGCTGGAAAATGGCTTAGATTACTACCCTACCCTACTTAGATAAAAACCTAATGAGACTGCTGTACTGTTTGTTAGTTTAACCCCGTTTGGAAATTGTTTCACCAATTCGAAATCCTCATTATAAAAAAAGACAACAACAAAATAAAACGAGTACAACAAATAGCAAGAAAAATTAAATGTTTAAAGGGTATGTGTTATGAAGAGCAATTAAAAGAATTTGGATTTACACCATTAGAAAAATGAAGAGCTAGAGGGAGTATAATAGAATATTTGAAATAGAATAATATAATCATAAAGTAAACTAGAGAAACATAAACAAACTTTATTACAAAATAACAAACTTATATCCAAAAATAAGAAGTCATATTCAAGGGTTATATCCTTATTTTTGTACCCTTTTTAAAGTATTACTTTATTTGACCTAATACTCTGTTTGCTTTTTTTGCAAATTATTTAATCAGAAAGTATTTGAATTAATTATTATTTTTAATTCTATCATTTTATAAATAAAAGCAATTAAATGATGTGTAAAAAGCAGAATGACAAATGACAGAGTTGAGAAAATGGAGTTGTGAAAATTAGCAAATTGATGTTTAATGGTACAACTAGCTGTTGGGTTTTTTTTTTTTTTTATTTATCAATTTTGTTATTATTAAAATTTTTGAACATTGATGCTTTATAATTCTCTCCTGTCTTCATGTTTTCCTGACTCATAAAGATTATAGTTTTTAAGTGTTCTGTCAGGTGTGTTCTGTCAAGTGTTCTGTCAACTTCATTTTTGCTCTTTACCTCTTTTGTTTACTTTCTGTTACTGACTTTAATAGTTGTTGCTTGCAGCCATATTGGTTGTGAATTTGTTAAACAAATATTTATATTGTGAATATTTATATTTATTATATTATATTTATTTTACAAATATTTATATTGTGAAGAGAGAAAATTTAGTTTGAATGATCAACTGGAAAAAAGTTTTGGTCAGATCAAAAAAAATATTTAATAATTCTTTTAATGCTTGTAAATCATTTTGTTTAATGTTTTACATTATTGCCATTTTTTTTAAATAATGCTTTTATATGCTTTAATATATGCTAAGCTCCACCATTGAATCTTACAATCATAACTCATAAAATCATTTAAAATTAATTTAATTTATTAAATTAATTTCTCAAACTGGATATTATTTGACTCCTATAATACCCAGTTTTTGTCAACTGCTGATGTTAGGAGTGAAACAAAATAAAAAAAAAAGTATTGATCCATAGAAATTTCATATAGGTAAACTAAAATTTAAATTTTTTTTTATTATTTTTATTAACTGGTTATATATTGTTAGAATAAGGTTAAAAAAGTTATGATCTTTGAAAAAAATGTATTTGATTTTTTGAATAGCATAACTAATTATTTAATTGTATTTAAAAAGTTATTTAAAAAATTATTCAAAAATTATTTAAAAAAATTAGCAAAATCATATTTCATTTCTTTTCCAAGCTTTAACTTGATAGTTGGCTTTTTATTTTATTTTATGAATTATATATATATATATATATATACATATATATATATATATATATATATATATATATATATATATATATATATATATATATATATATATATATATATATATATATATATATATATATATATATATATATATTAATTTTATCCTTGCAATTCTATTCCTCTTTTTTTTGATGTTGTATTGTATTTCATGTTATTGTTATTTTTGTTTTGTTTTTTATCTATTTTAATATTTAATTAGTTTGCTTTGATTTCCAAAAGAGCTAAACAAGTTTTTTAAAAGTTGAAGTTTTACATATGTTTAAATTTTTTAACAAACTTTGCTTCATAAAAACATATATTATGAGAACCTTCAAGTGTGACTGATGTTGACTTAGGAAGTGGGGGCAAGAAAGGTTTATGCCCTAGTATTGACTAATAACTGATATATATTGATTACTTTATTCATATCTTGACTAATAACTGATATATATATATATATATATATATATATATATATATATATATATATATATATATATATATATATATATATATATATATATATATGTATATATATATATATATGTATATATATATATATATATATATATATATATATATATATATATATATATATTTTATTTTACTGTTATAACCTCCTTTGTCTTGCTGGAGAAGGGAATGTGAATAATAAAAATAAATAGTATGCAAAAGAGACTTTTATGGTAAAAAGTATTGGTTCTTTTTTAAAAAATGATAAAGCATAACAACTAACAAGGCAAAAAAAAATTTTTTAAAATATGAAACATGAAATATCAAAGCTATTTAAAATTTTAAGTAAATAAAAAATTATTTTAAGTAATTAGCATAACAATTTTTAATTTTTTTTATTTTATATATAACAAAATAATTATTTAACTAAAATCCCTTTTAATTTGGTTTTTATTGATTTTTAATAAATTCTTTTTATCAGATTGGAAGTTGTTGGAATTCATATTTTCAAACATGGGATAAAACACCAGATGAGACCTACGTTCTTCATGATCTTGAATGTCCTGAGTTAAACCAAATTATTGATGCCCAAGTTTTGAATGAAATCCAAAAATTTTTACTCATTTTAGATCAGCATTGGAATGCAGAGTTTTCAAAGTATGACTTATCAAGACCATCTTGTCTTGTTGAAAGCACTTCTGGACATTTTGTTGCCACAACATATTCTTCGTTACTCCTTAAGGTTTGTCTTTTTTAATAACTTACTAATTTATTTATGTATTATAAATTAAGAAGTTTTATTTTAAAGAAAAATTATTTTCAGCTAAATCTTGCATCAAGTTACTGATGATTATATACTGATTTAATCAGGTTAAAACATACAAATACATTTCAATATATATAAATTATTGCCATAAATAAAGCTAAATTAGCTAAAAGGTAGCATGTTGAGCAATATGGTAGTGGTGTAGTGATAGATCTTGCTTCATATGTAAGAAGTTCTAATTTTAATTGCAAACACATCTTTTGTAGCTCCATATTCAACTTGTTTCCTTGAGCAGAAGCCTAGTAATAGTTGTTAAAGTAACCAGTAGCCTTGTTGTCAAGGTAGCCTGTAGCCTTGTTGTCAAGGTTTGTATTTTGGAGTCAAAGGGTTTAGAAAGGATTGAAACTGCATTATTAAAAAAAAAAAAAAAGTAGCCTCCTTGACTGTAATAGCTCATTTGGCTTTGAGGAGGTGAAGTAAGGGCTGTAACTATTAGGTTAAAGCAAAAGTAACTTTTATAAGTCAAATTTAATAGACATTCTATATGAAAATACAGACAACATATATAGTATTTGAAAAAGTAATATTTTTTATGCATTAAAAATTAAAACTCGAAACTTTTTATTGTATTTTTATGTCAATTGATAATTTAGAAAACGCCCTTTGAAAATATTCATTTTAGACATTGCATGCTTTACACATTTTGGCAAGGTAAAAATATAACAAATGTAACTACTTGTTTGAGTTTATCAAAATTGATTTGCTAGGTTTAGCAGAGGTAAATTCTGTTGTTTGAAAAAAAAAAAGTTTGGCAGTCATTTTATCAGTTGTATATCTGGTCTTCCTTTTCAGTACAAAAGGCTGCAAGCAAATACTATTAGAGTTAAAAGTTACTGGAAATGAAGTTTATAGAGCAAAATAAAAATTAACTGATGACTTAAAAGATTGCAAATTATATTAATCAGGTGAACAAGATGAAGGAAGCAAATTCCAAAGGACTGAAAGGAAAAAAACTAGATGAATAAGAATTTTTGGAGCACTTAAGAACAGTCACAGTAAAAGGATGAGACTTGATTGAATGACAAGTAACACAATTATGAATTTTAGTAGGTGGAATAAGAGATACTAGCTCTTTAGAGCTGTGCCTATTATAGAAATTTATAAAAAAAGGAAAGAGAAGCAACATTATGATAATGTGATAATGGTTGGAGGTTGGCTGCAAGAGCAGGTCTAACTATGTTTACAATGCGTTTTTGCACCTTGTCTATAAAAGAAAGGGCATTATTGGAAGATGTGCCTCAGATATAACAACAGTATTCCATACAAGGCCAGATATGAGATTTATAGAGATAAAAAATCGAATCTTGAGTAAGGCTCGGCAAAAACCAGAAAATTTTAAATTGTTAAACCGGATTTTTTATTATAAAAGCTTATTTTTATTATTGCAGTATAAACAAATGTAACCTACAAAGTTGATATGGAATTAGATCTGTAAATTAAAAGAGTGTTTTTCATACTTGATGAATAATAAAAAATATAATTTTATCATCAATTAAACATTAGTTTTTATCAATGTTCATTAACACTTATCTTTTTTTATTCATTGTTAATATAGTTCAAATCTAATGAACTTTTCTGATGAAGTTTTTTCCTTTAAGCCTCTTTTTTCTTTCCAATCCGCTTTTTTTTTGAGGCAACTTAATAACCTATTTTTCATTTTTTTTCTATTCATAACTGAATATACTATTTTTAACTAAAAATTATGCATGAGATCTGTTTTACAAAAGTATAATGTAAAAATATACTACAATTTATAATACTTAAAGTAATATAAAAGTCAAAATTACAAAAAACAAATTTGTAAACAAAAAACTTGTTTTTGTTTAACTATTTTTTTTCAATTTGTTGCAATACATGATAATATAAGTTGTGGTTCATAATAATATAAAAGACTTAAAAATATATAATTCAGCGTACTAACAATATAAAGCTAGATTTCCGATCATAAGGATCTTATCATCAGAAGATCATAAGGATCTTATCATCAGAACCTTGAAAATTAAAATATTTATTTATAATATATAGATATATTGAAGATTTAACATAATGCAAAGATACATCATACTAACATTTAAAAATATAATATGCTGAAGATTTAATAAATACGTTATACATACTTTTTTTAATAGAATTTTAGAATGTCCATAGAGAAATTTTTTTTAACTTATTTTTAAAAACAGGAAGAGTAAAAGAAGGATCAAAATTTGGTAATATTATGTTTTTTCAAAGATAGAGTGCTCGATTTTAAGATTTTTGTTTAACGATCTCAAATTAAAATAATTAAACAACAATAACAAAAACTTTAACATCAAACGAAATGTAACAACAAACTAAAATATCAAAAAGTTGACAAAATACTTTAAGTTAGTGTTACTTCTTTTTTCTGGATTGTTTTGATTATTATAAGTATTTTAAAATTTAAATATTGTTGAAAGATTCTGTCAGTATTTAATCTAATAATAATTGGTAAAAAATATTGAAATAAAAAAAACTAAATGCAATATCAAAGTGCTTTTTAAAACTGTATATATTTTCATGACATTTGTGCTTTCCATGTTACTTCTTAGCTTGTCAAAACAAGAAATCTTCAAACTATTTATCTATTTAGTAATGTATAATTATTGAATTTTTTTCTAAAAAAAACAGTTTTTTGTTTTGAGAAAACGAAACAAAAAACCTGTTATCCGGTTCCGTTTCCACTAGTTACCAAGCCCTAATCCTGAGTAAGTGGCAAGTACAATAAAGAGATGTAACCTTAGCAGATGCTAATTTTTTAATTAATTTGATATATGGTTTTCAAGAAAAATCAAAAGTAAGAGTTAATCCTAAAAGATAAAGTGTAGATGACTCATCGAGTCTATTACCGTTCATTTATATAGGAAGATCTAGATTATTGCAATACCAATTAGCTAGAAAATATTGAGTTTTATCTAAATTAAAGTTCACCAGCCACTCTGACCCCCATGCTGTAGCAGAAGTGAGATCCTTTTCAAGCTCAAATTCCCCCTCCAAGCAATTAGAGAGTGTTGGCTTCTAATCAAGACAAGAAAAAATGGTAGTATCGTCAGCGAACAATTCCACCTTAGATGTGAGAATTTCTGGGAGAATGTTAACGTAAATTAAAAAGAGTATAGGGCAAAGGAAAGAAATCTTTTTGTTTGCCCTATTCGAGGAACCCCTGAAGTTACAGGATATGAAGAAAGGAGCTCTCCATTGAGGACAACTTTTATACTATGATTGGTAAGGAAGGATTCGATCTTTTTGTTTTTGTTTTTTGTTAATCTTGAGGCTGATAGCCTTAGCCTCTCCACCTCTATCTAATGCATGATAAAACCTATCAGTTTACCGTATTACCGTTAAAAAATTAACAGTAGAATGAGAAGATTGAAATCTATATACATGATCAGAAATTTATTAGATTCAAGATGAGAGATTAAGTATTAGTTCATTAAATACTAAAAAACTTTGCCTATGAGTAAGAGGACTGGGGTCAGCTCTGATCGCTCTCCAGAATTTTTGAAAATAGGGATAACAGACGCCGCTTTCCAGCAGGATGGAAAACAAGACTCTGTTAAGCACTTGTTAAATAGTTTTGAAAGTATAGATGACAGCTCAGGGAACACTTCTGCAAGAATATAAGAGGTATGTTGTCTGGACCACAAGCTGTAGAACAGTTTACACAGGAAATCACTTTAGATACAGAAGCTGGAGTGATATGAACATCAGACAAAGGATTAACCTATTTGTCAGCTATATCAGGTAGAACGCGACTGGAATCAAGAGATGATATTGATGAGAAGCTCTTAGCAAACAATTCGGCTTTGTCTTTAAGCGAGGTGACAAAATCTGAACTTTACAAGAGAGGTGGAGTATCTCTCTCTCTTTCTTTCTCTCTCTCTCTCTATATATATCTATATATGTATATATATATATATATATATATATATATATATATATATATATATATATATATATTTATATATATATATATATATATATATATATATATATATATATATATATATATATATATATATATATATATATATATATATATATATATATATATAGAGAGAGAGAGAGAGAGAGAGAGAGAGAGAGAGAATGATTGCAAAATTACCAACTTTTTTAATTACCGGTAATTTGGTAAAAAAGTATTTAATTTTAGGAGTGGCTATAAAGTTGAAGGTACATGTACTCTTATAACTCCATCAACATTGTTAACACAATCATCATTATCACTGAAAACATTTTTATTTTGATTGTTAGAAATATGTTCAATTAACTCAATAATTGATTTAGTTATGGCAGTTTTTATTAAACATTCCATGATCATCAACATTATTGCTATTCAAATTGGTTGGGTCATGAGTTAGTTCATTTATTATAAATTTTTATGTTATATTAGCTGTGTAAATGCTACCATCTTCGCAACACAAAAAAAACTTTAAAAGTTGTCTACAGCATATTTTAAATGCTTTTAAAGTTTGATAAAAAGCCAATATCGTTATTATCAAATGTAATTGTTGAATCTATATCAATTAAATTTGTTTGTATATGATTTCTAACTTTATAAAAAAGCTCAAATTTGTTAGTAAGCTACTCCAAAGGGTTCAAGTATCAAAAACTAATGAAAGTTCCTCAATTACCCATTTGATATTTTTTTGTAATATTTCAATTTTCATCAACAAAAGGCAAACTTATTTCTTGTTCTAAATAAGTTGATTTTTCCTCCTCTCTCAGTTATTATTTTAATCATAAAGATCATTGATAATTGCCAATTGAATGCCATGACAACATAATTGATGATTAGCACTAATTAACTTTCCCACTTTTATCATCGCTGATGCACCGTCTGTTGTAATTCAAACTTCATTATCTAATGAAATACCAAATGTTTTAAGTTTTTTGTCTAATAGAGCAATAAATTTAGCTGCTGGCATTGATCCATGACCTCTACCAAGACCGAGACTCCAAAACTTGTCAAATACATGTAATGTTTATTTACATTCATATAATTTGTACAAGTCCACTCATCTAATGTGATGCTCAATCCTTCACAGATCTGGCACAATGCTTTGAATCATTATCTTGTAAAATCCATTTGTGACATTCTTCATAGTCTCTAAATATGCTCTCTGATCCATAATACCTTCTGTGCAAGGAATAGGACCATCATTGTAACAACTAAAACACCCCTAAACCATAACGTTTCCTCCTCCATGTTTAAAAGTAGATAACTGATATTTTTGATTGAGTCTGCCTACTATAGGATGCCTGACCTACCTAATTCTGTCACTTCTGAATAGAATAAACTGATTCATCAGAGAAAATTTGATCAGTTATTAACTAACTAAATGATCTTTTGCAAATTTTATTCTGGACTTTGAATTTCTTGCAGATATCAGCAGTTTTTTTTGATTTCTTGCAGATATCAGCAGACTGGATGTTTTCCATACAAATTGTTTTGTTTTAATTGATGTTTAGTTGATGTTTAGATGCTACAGTTTTTGCTATGAAACTGAATTGAATTCGGTTCAATAGCAGTCTTGCAAAGGAATTCTTAAAAAAGCAAATATTTATATAAATATTTATCAGTCTTTTCAGTTGTAACTTTAGGTCTTCTAAAGCAAGGCTTACTTTCAATAGTTTTGTGCTATCAAAATCTTTTCATAATGTGACTAATTTACAACCTGGTTTTATTCTCAATCTGTTTTAGAAGCATAGTAAAGTTCAGAAATCTTTTTATGAGTCATTTTTTTCATGCAACTTTCAACATTTCTTTATTTCATTTGTAACTTCCTTAGTTTTTCCCATGCTTTTAAAATATCACTTAAATGTAACTGAAACAAAAAATTTTGCATTTTGTTTTATGGAATCACTTCACTGCTTTGGAAATATTTCAAAGTGAATTATTAAATTTCAAAAATGTTTTGTTCTTTAGTTTTGCATTTATTTGTAAAAACCTGATTTAGTTGCAGAAGATAATATTGTTTTAAAATTTTTTCACAGAAGCCTTTTCAACAAAAAAAAAAATAATTTCAAATAACCGTTAAATTTTACAATTTTTGTAGTTTGTATTTTAAAGTGAAATAATATAATGCACATTTAGTAAAAAGTTCAGTTTCTTTGAGAAAGTTTGTGAAAGGTTATGCCTTAAAAACCAAAAAAAAAACGTTTCTAAACATTTGCACGCTACTGTGCAATTATTTGTTATCTAATTGTTATATTTATACATTTTTGTTATATTTGTTTTTTCATATTTTGAATATTCTACTTTAATTATTTTAGATGAGATTATCAAAATGGTTACCAGACAACCTAGAAATACCAAAATTACATCAACCAATAAATCTCTATATTAGTAATGATAAAATACTTTCTTTAATGGGAAAAAAAGTGAATTACTTATCAAATCAAGTGAAGTGCAAAGATCTCATTCTTAGTCTTGGTGTACAAACTGATATAAAGTTTGAATCTTTTGTCAAAGAATTCCAGTCTTGGAGAGAAGAATCATTGTTTTCTACAAGCTATGATCATTCAATAAATATTTACAAATATTTTGAGAAGCAGCAGTTAGGTTATTCTAACATAATTAATGAACTTAAGCAATATCCTTTAGTATTTTTACCACACGATCAAAAAGCTCAAACATTTTCAAATAGCACTTCTGTTTTAGAGGGAAAATTTTGCTTAGTTAATAATTTGTGCTGGGAGGATCCTTCAGGAATACTCAGTAATTTCAAAGATGAAATTGCTATTAGGCGCACTCTTAACAGTTATTATCCTAAGGATTTGCTCAACTTTTTTGTCAACAAGTTAGGAGTTAATAGATATCCTAGCATCCAAGAGTATATCAATCTTGCAAGTTCCATTGCTAGCAAAACGGTTTTACCTGATAAAGTTGCATGTGAAAAGCTATTCAATTTGTTTTCTGTTCTTGGTCACATGTTTATTATAAACAGTAAACTTAAAGAGTTGAATGAATTGAGTTTTTCAGAATCGGCTGAAGAACGTAAGCAACAATACGAAGATCTTGCATTATTTATTGATCCACAGTTGATGCATGTTCATGGCAAGGATATTATGGAGGAACATATATTTCCAACGTCTAACAACACTTTCTGTTGTGTATCTGAACTTCCTCTTCTGGCTGAATATAATAGCCTTTCAAAGGTTTTTCAAGAAAGTAGACAAGTGCCATTAATTTTCTTTGATTCTGTTTTAAACATGATAAATATAAGCAACACAAAACGCATAACAGATTCTTGTCTCTTGAAATTTTTTAAGATTATGATTTTTTTCAAAGCTTGTGGTATTAGACTCCTTTCAGATGTTTTTATGGAGCCTGAAATTACTACAACATTTATAGAAAGAGGTTGCTCAAAGTGGGAAAAGACTCTTCACGACATCTCTCCGATAGTTCAACGTTATTTAAAAGCAAAGATACCTTTAGTTTATAAACAACTTTGCTCGAAGGATTTTCATACGTACTTGCAAAATTCGACCATATTTACTGTAGAAAAACTTGAAGTTGTTTACCGACTCTCCGACCGAAACAGTGTAAATATTTCTCAAGTAAAAATAGCTTTAGTATTAGATGCTGAAGCAAAACATGCAACCGTCTATATTACTTCAGAGTATGCTGAAGAAAAATCAAAGTTCGAAAATATACTTGATGAAATTTTAAGTTTATTTGTAGGTAGTAATGAGAAATATAAGGAAGAGTTGCTTGATTTTGTTCTCACGTATTTAACGGTAAAAAATAAAGACGAATGTCTAAAGCGCAAGAATATACCTGAGATTTCTCCTCCTGAGAAAATATGGCATTACTCTGAGCCTAAATTAATCAAATTTAGTCATCAAATAGTTCCAGTAGTAAAAGAGTTACCAATTGAAAATGCTTCGTTATCTGTCGAAAATAAAGGGTTAACATGTTGGCCTCCACGTAATCCTGCTGGTTCAGGTTTCGTTGCGAAGCCAGAATCTTTAAAAAATGCTGAAAAAGAAGTTCATGAGAAATGGAAGGCTCCTGTGTACCCTGAATGTGCTGAAAATAATCATTTGGTAGAACCTATGGCTAATCAATCACTGGAAAGAAATTATAATACTCTTTCGGAGAAAACAAAGACTGAATCAGATAATTTAGTAGTTAATCAAAATTTTAATTTTAAGAACGAAACATTAAACAACTTGCAACAAATAAATTCTTTAGGTGGTCAATCATGTTTACCACCCAACTCTGACAAAGTTTGCAATTTACCTTCTAACCGAGTTCCAGTTTATAGTGTAATCTGCGATGAAAAATTAAATCAATGGAAAAAATGGAATCAAGTAAACCAAACAATGAAACCACATAATGAGCAATTGGCTTTTAGAAATAAAAATAACTTTAGCTGTGGCAAACTAAACGCATGCAATTTTGAAAAGTTTGAAAATCCTGTCATAGAAGACCAGTATGAAGACCTGCCTATAATCATTCAAGATAATTTAAAAGATTTTGAAAAATCAAAGTTTGATAAAGAAAAATCTGATAGAAGCGGATATTTTGGCGAGTTTATTGTTTATCGCCATATTGAGGAAACTTATAAAGATGACATTACAAAAGGCAAGGTAAAAATATTCTGGCTTAATGAAAAAGAAGAGACAGGCGATCCTTATGATATTAAAATAGAGTTTACTGACCAGAATGTAGAATCAGAAAGTTCAAATATAAAGTGTATATATATTGAAGTAAAAACGAGCTATTTGGATGGAAAAAAGGAGTTTGAGATCTCAGCTAACCAGCTTCGGTTTGCTTTTGACCAACAAGCAAGTTTTCATCTGTATCGTGTAACAGGTTTAAACGAAAATCTTAGAATAAGACGTTTAGTTAATTTGTCAATGTACATGGATAGCAAGTCTGTTCAACTTTTTATGGTACTATAACGTTTTTAATGTGATTGCAATTTTGAACAGTTATGTACTTTCAAACTATTGCATTTTAACGAGTTTCAAATATCATTTTTAACGAATATGTATTGTAGCTACAATACTATTTTTTATTTTTTTATAACCTCTTTACTTATTGATTTATTTTTTAACGCCTAAAAAAGTTTTAAATTTAAATCTTCAGTTATAAACTTTTTTTGTGCTTGTTAGTTCTCAACTGACGATATTTCATTTATTGGCAGCTAAAGCTGTTTTTATAATATTTTAAATTTTATTATTTCTTTTCGCGTAATAACTAGTTTAAAGAAATATATCGTCGAAGAAATTTTTATATTATATATTACAGATTTTTAATTTTATTTGTAACCTTTTTATTAGTTTATTGCAAATAGCTGATAAAATTTGATGAATAACATTCAGTTTTATGTAACATGCGTAGTTTTAGTATTATGGATTATCCTCCTCCGGCTCTCATTTAGTGGCCACATACCAAGGTCCGCAATAACAAGTTTAGCTTAGAGCATTATAACTCGCTTTGTTGGACCAAGAGCAAGTATGTTTAGGAAGAACAGAAGAAGTAAATAATATTAAAACTCAGAAGTTTATGTTTAAATTTCTTAATAATAATTCTCAGTCAATAAAGCATTTTTAGTTTAATTTAATAGTGATACAAAATTATTATTGCTGTAATATTTTTTTACAAACAATGTGATTTTTAACTCATGTACCAACGCAACTCAAAACATATTTGTTTTATTGGGCCAAATAATACAAAGTGTAATCGGTTCACCTGCAGCTCCTATACAGTTGCGCCATGTAACGCAAATTATATTGCATATTCCTTGGGTTATGTGTAGGTGGATGTAGATTTTCAAAAAAGTTCTGTTAAAATCTTTTTTATATAAATATATTGTTGATTTGTTGTTTGTTTTTGAATTTGTTGAATTGATTGTTGAAATGTTGATTTCAGCAAATATTTTAAGAGAATATGAACTTTTGGTTAAATTTTTTTTTTCCAATTATTTAAAGTAACTAAAAAGTAATAAAAAATTTTATATGGTCGCCAAAAGTATGTAATTTTGTTACACTTTATAATATGTAGCATTATTATAAAGTGTAACAAAAGTTAAAATTATTTAGTTTAATTTATTTTCGAAATAGATATGGTAATTTTAAATAATTTAATTCAATTTGTTTTCAAAAACTATCGTTATCGCAATAATTTAGAACTTCCTATATTTATGAGCGGTAATGTACTCGATGGGTTATCTACCCTTTTCTTCTAGGATTAACTCTTACTTCCTTCCTTGGAAACCATATATCTTCCTTTTTTGGAAACCATATATTAAATCCGTTGCAAAATTAGCACCTGCTAAGGTTTCATCTTTTTATCGAGATTGACACTTTATTACTTCGAATTCTATTCTTTTTCTTTATAAATCTCATATCCGTCCTTGTATGGGATCCTGTTGCCATACCTGGGGCGGATCTTCCAATGATGTTCTTTCTCATTTAGACAAGGTACAAAAACGCATTGAAGACATAGTTGGAGATGCTCTTGCAGCCAACCATTATCCCATATCTCCAACCATTATCACATCGCCGTAATGTCGCTTCTCTTTCCTTTTTCTACAAATACTACAATTGGCACTAATCTGTTATAATATATGTAGAAATTTTATTTAGTAGATAGCACAAGAGATGAGCTAGCCTCACTTGTGCCATCTATTAAAAATAAACTCTTGTGTTACCCTTTATTCAATTAAGTCTCATTTTTCTGTGGCTATTTCTAAGTGCTCCATAAACTCTTATTCGCCTAGTCTTTTCCCTCGAACATCAGTTCTTTGGAATTCGCCTTCTTCACCTTGCTTTCCTGATTTATATAATTTGCAATCTTTTAAGCCGTCTATTAATCGTTATCTTGCTATATAAATTTCATCTTTTATCTTTCAGTAACTTCCAACTCTGCTTTATAAATTTCATCTTTTCTCTTCCAGTAACTTTCAACTTATTGTGGTTGCTTGCAGCCTTGTTGGAAGCAAATATGTTAAAAGAAAAAAAAACTTTATATTTTATTTAGTTTGAAATCTATCAAACAAAAATTAATATAGTAAAATACAGCTATTCACGAAAGTTTAAACGAGGGTGTAATTTTGATCAAGTAGGTTTAGTTTTTTCTTAATAAAAAAAAAATTAAAAATGATGTCGACTTAATTTTTTTTTATTTATTAAAGGAAAATTAATTAGGTTTACAATAAATGTGAACTTGTTATGAAATTATTTATATTAATTAAAAAAAAGTTAATTATAAAAATACATATGTGAAAAATGAGTAGCACAAAAGTTTAAACGAATTTTTACAAACAAACAAAAAATGGAAAAAAAAAGCAAAATAAATATTTAAAATGTCCGCCTTTGTTTTTATAGCAAGACAAACTCGTTTCTGCATTGATTCAACTAATTTCATGCACATCTCTCGAGGTACCTTCAAGCAGTACTCATTCAAAAGTTGCTTTAAGTGCTCAGTTGATTGTATTTGGTGATAAGTAAGTTGATTATCGATTCGAGACCAAATATTTTCAATTGGGTTGAGATCTGGTGATCTAGAGCACCAAGGGATCACATTAATCTTTTTTTGCAAAAAATATTCTTTGATTGATTTAGCTGTATGAGCTGAAGCCCTGTCTTGTTGAACGATTAATTGCTTGCTTCGACCATACAACTGTCTGATTGATGGAATTAAACACGTTTCCAATGTGTTTTTGTAGGTGTACTGATTTATTCGGCCTTCGTACAGCTCACACATACCAATAGCTTCGTGAGAAAAACATCCCCAATTACCAATTAAACCTCCACAGCCTTGTCAACATGGTTGCAAAAACCGTTCTGAATTATTCTCCGTTGCAAATCTTTTGATATATATTCTTCCTCTGACGGTTTACAACTTAAAAATTAGCTTCATCACTCCAAATGGCTTTTAACCAGTCTTCAACAGTTCAGCTCAATCTTTCTTTTAACCATATTCGCCGTTTACATTGATCCATTATTGATAAAATAGATTTTCTTGCTGTAATATACGTTCCAATAGCTTTTTGCAGCAATGTTCGCCTAACGAGCTCTCTGCTTACATTATGATTATTTTTCGACTTGTTGAAGATTTGTACTAGCTTTTTGTAGCTGTGCTTAGGATTCTCTCTGCAGATTCTGAATATTCTACTTTTTTCCTGATCACTGAGCATCGATGGTCTCCTGAAATGCGGCATGTCAACGACGTCCACAGTAAGTTCCCAGGTTTTGACTGTTTTTCGTACGCAAGATTCAGAAACCCCAAGTATTTTGTCTATTTGAACTTTGCTGTGAATTTTTGACTCAGACATACCAATAATTTGCCATTTAATCTCACTTGAAACTGGTTTTCGACCCATTTGCACGTAATTTGAAATTGTTTGAAATTTGCAATGATTTTAATTGATTTTTGTTGAAATGAAGCTTTTGGATAATGTTGTGAAGATATTTTTGACTGAAAACCACTCAATCTACTTAAGTTTATGTTTTAAAACAATTTTCGCACCGGATTAATTAATTAATTAACAAATAATTGAATTTGAATAAATTTGTTTAAACTTTCTCACATGTGTAGTTTATATTTAACTTTTTTTAAATTAATATAAATAATTTCATAACAAGTTCCCATTTATTTTTAACATAACTACTTTTTCTTAAATAAAAAAAATTAGGTTGACATCGTTTTTACCTTTTTTTTATTTAGAAAAACCTAAACCTAATTGATCAAAATTACACCCACGTTTAAACTTTCGTGAATAACTGTATGTTCATTATGCTAATCCATTACAACAACATTACGTATACGTCGTATTACGTATGCGTACGTATTGCGTAATGTTATGACGTTACTTATAATGCTGTATTATGTGTAATAATATGGCTTTATACTTTATTAAAAACTAGAATGATTAAACTTTAATAGTTAAACCAACCACCAATTTGTGTTCTTAATAAATTTATATTATAGTTAGTGATTTAATTCATTTATATTTATGTCATAAATAGTGACCTTAGGTACGCGAAAATCGTCGTTTTACGGAACTGAATTTTCTGCTAAACTTTTGTGTCATTATATATTAAATAAAATATTGCGTGTTTTACAAAGCAAATGTCATAATTACAATGGCGTTGCTGGGGTTGGTGTCACGCAGTGGGTAAAATTTTTGTGTGACTCCTCTAGACTTTCACAATTAAGACCGACAACATGGGTTTCGAATTTCTAAATTCGAAATCCATCTTGTCGGTCATTTCTAAAAATAAAAAAGGCCTTTAAAAGTAGTTGGATGTATACTGTCATATTTGCATTATTAATTTTTGCGTCACCCCTTTGTGTCAGGTCATAATGGTGTCACCCGTTGCGGTCCACGCCCCCAAGTGACTCCACTGCATAATTTACTTATATACGAGTTATTTATTAGCTAACAAAAATAAAAGCTTTTGCCTTAAAAAAATTCAAGAAAATGTTCATTTGAAAAATGTTAGTTTTATAAATATACATGGTCAAACGACTTAAATTTAAAAATTAAACAAATGCTATTTAAATTTGTAAAAAAGCTGTCCAGTCTGCCCGAGATGGTTTTCACCTTGTGTTCATATGAAGAACTTTCATCCCGCCTAACAGGAATCTTGGCAGTTCATAGGCGATATCTCGCCTAGGCGGGGTGTAAATTTTACATAAGAATGCAATGTTGAAAATTTATGAGTTTTAAAAGAGAGCAGAGATCTATGTAGTTTTTTTTCTCGGTTAGGCGGGATAAGTTTTATCTATATGAACAGCTATAAACCCCTATGTTTTACAATAGATTTTTAAAAAATTAATAAGGAGATATCCAAAATAGGGTTATTAAAAAAAAATTAAGAGAATTGCATATGGACCTTCGTTCTCATGAGACATTTAGCTTCTATTTGATATTTATAGCTATCTCTGGTGAACTAAATGTGAAATCGTAAAAGTTTGCAAAAGTAAATGCATCCTAAGTTTTTCGGCATTTCGTTCATTTACTTGCTTCATCAAAGTTATAGACGGTCGACCTATAGCAAAGGAGATTTTTTTTTTTCGTTTGAGAAAATCTAAAATAACTTAGATGTTTAACACAAATAAAAAAATCAAGAGAAAAGCTTTAAATAAATTTTTTGTGTTTTTTTTTTCAGCATTTTTTTAAAAAAGCCACAAAAAATAACATTACAGAATTAATTTAAGTTAAAAAAAAAATTAATTATGCTAAATTATCCTTGTATTACAATTTTTACGCGGCTAGATTTTTTTTTAAATATGCTAATTAAGGTGTGTTCTTAAATTTTTTGAAGATTTATTACTTTTTACAAAATTAGTTTTTTTGTTGCAGTTTATTTTGTCTCTGCGTA